GTAGGTTCTGTCACAGCGACGCTGTGCAGAGTCCAGAATCCCGGGTTGGTCTGCACCCCGCTGCATCATTCACTCCTTTGGCACTCGGTTTCTCCAATGAGATGCTAACTCCCTTGGCAGCAGGGAATGATCTTTTGTCTCCGCTCCTCCTGTGCCTAGCATGGTGCTCCTGAACATTGGTGTTGAGTAAACACTTAAGCAAGAATAAATGTATTATTCTGGAGCACATTGTTTTACTCATTAAGTGATGGCACTGACCCCAAAGTTCTTTCCAAGGCAAGTGTGGACTTGGGAGGAGGAGAGTGCTGGGTGTGAGAGGCCAGTCCTATAGGGCTGCTCCTTCCTACCACAAAATAACTGTGCTAAAAAAATGTAAAATTATTACAAATAGAGCAACATGGTTATTACTGTTTCACAGTTGAAGAAAGGTTCAATGAGGTCACACAGTTTATATATGAATTCCTGGTCCGGTGCTCTTTCCATTTCCCTGACCCAAGAGATCTGCCTCCTGCCCAAGTGTTAGGCCAGGCTCCTCCCAGTACAGCGTCCATTCTTGGGGGGGGGGGTGCTCACTCTCTCACCATCCATCATTCTGCATTGCCAGCCCGAGCACCTGCTGTGGTTTCTACACCACCTGGGGAGTGGTGGCGGTGAGAGGGCAGAGAGCAGGGTGAACACGGTCACATCCCCTCAGAGGGAGGGACCGACAGGCATTTTACGGCTAGCCTAGTGCCTGGCACTTTGCTGGGCACTGTAGCGCCAGTCTCCCCCACACACACACTTTTACCCTTGTAAAGAGAGGTTCCGAGGCGAAGTAACCACTCGTGGGCCTAAAGCCAGTGGGAGCGGCTAGGCGGCCGCCAGGGGAACGGGCTTTGCCCCGGGTCAGGGTCCTCCGCTGGATGGTGGTGCACATGGACGCCGACGCCCCGCGGAGGCGATGCCCACGCGGGCGCAGGAGCTTAAGTGCTCAGCGCCCGGGGTCCGGCGGGGCGGGGCGGGGCGTCCCGTGAGGGCGGGGCCGGGGCGGCTGTGAGCGCGCCAGGGGCGGGCTCCTCGGAGCAGGCTCCGCCCCGCCAGGGGCGAGGGTTTAAATGGAGGGAAGGAGGCGGCCCCGGCTTCAGCGGCTGCGAAGCGCGCGAGGGGCGGGAGAGTGGCGAGGGTACAGCCATGACCCTGCGGGCGGGGGGCGCTCGGCTGCTCGGCGGACTCCTGCTCTTCGCTCTGCTCGCTGCGGGCGCCGCGCCGCTGAGCTGGGATCCCCCAGAGCCCCGCAGCCGGGCCAGCAAGATCCGAGTGCACCCGCGGGGCAACCTCTGGGCCACCGGTAAGTCTTCGCGCCCCGGGCAAGCGCCCTTCACCCTGCTCTGATCCCATTTTCCTTTTCAGGCCGTTCCTCAGCCACGGACACTCATGTCCGCGCTGCTGAGGACCCTGGAACTCGTCTAATAGATGGGAAACTTGAGACCCAGACAGTCCGGTGACTTGGCTGCGATCACTCAGCCAGTTAAAGCAGAGCTGGGGTCGTATCCTACATCTGCCTGCCAGCCGGTGCCCCTTGCCTTAGGCAAGAGTCTACAGAATCTTCTTCTAACCTCTGGTGTGTCTTCTCTTTGCACCTCCACCTTCCAGACACCTCTTCATCCTCCACTTTCCTCCTTGCCCTCTCCTGTCTCTCCTGTAAGCAGGCAGCACTACTGGCAGGCTCTCTCCCTGGCCGTGTGCCATCTACCCTCCTCCCAGCTGTACCACCCTCTCCGCCATCTCTGCCTGCTCAGGAGAAGCCCAGGTACAGGCTTTGCTGCCACCCAGGGGTATTTGTGTCTCCTTGGAGAGGAGGTGGAGCAGGACTGACCTCGGATCTTCCTGTCATGAGAACTGAAAGTTGGGAGAGATGGGGAACTTTCCCACTGGGTTAGAATCCTCGCTCCCCAACTTCCTTGTGCCTTGGCACCTCCTTTCTAGGTCACTTCATGGGCAAGAAGAGTCTGGAAACCCCCAGCCCATTCCTCTTGGGGACAGCTCCCCACATCTCTCTGAGGGACCAGAGACTGCAGCTGAGTCATGATCTGCCCAGGATCCTCCTGCTCAAGAAAGTTCTGGGCATGAGCCTTAGCGGCCCAGCACCTCACCCCCAGGTGAGCCAAGCTCCTACCTCAGGCCAAGGAGAGGCCCAGCCAGGGCTGCTGCTGGTTCCAGCATTGGGCATTGGGTGTGAGAGCACCCCGCCCCCGAGGTGTGATGGGCCCCAGAAAGCCAGGGATTTCAGGCTTTCCTTGTGATCCAGAGTCAAAGGGAGAAGACTTCAAAGAAAGGTGACTGACCTTCCCAGCAAACCCCACAGAGCAAGAAGTAGGAAAGAAGTTTCCCCTCACCTAGTCCCCAGTCTGAAGTCACAGCCTAGGATTAATTAGCCAGCCTCTTGCAGCAGGACCTCCCCCACACACACAGACTTGCCCCACCCCAGCCATCCACCTTTGCTGTGCCTCATTTGTACTTGTGGCTACAGTTGGGACCCTGAGGCCCAGAAAGGAGAAGAGTCAGCATCCAAGACAGAGTCCAGACCTTGTTCAACTCGACCAGGGCTCTTCCCAGTCGCTCATCTGCCTCAGTGACCCTCAGTGCAGGGTTTCTCAACCTCAGTACTCCTGACATTCTGGGCTGGATAATTCTTTGTTGTCGGGGCTTCCCTGTGCACTGGAGGAAGTTTAGTAGTATCCCTTGTCTCTACTCACTGGAGCACCCTCCTCCCTGCCCCATTTGTGACAACCACAAAAAAAGGCCTCCAGACATTGCCAGAGCTCTTGTGAGGGGAAAGGGGCAGGAGCCAAAATTACCCTGGTTGTAAACCACTGACCCCAAAGCTAGAGCCAAGCCAGCTTTGGTCTCTACCCTGGCAGGAGGGCAGCTCCTCCATTCCCTGCTCCTGGTGCTGACCCTGGCCCACACCACCTTCCCTTGTACTTTGTTACGATGCCCAGAAGGCAGCATAGTGTGGTAGAATGTGGGTTCCCGTGACAGCGAGCTAGGCTCATAACCCAGCTATTTTGTAGCCGTGTGACCTTAAAGGCCTCATCTTCCTCATTTATAAAATGGGGATGATAGCGGATAGCACCCATCTTGTATTAAATGGGACCATTTGTGTCATGAGCTCAGAGTGATGCCTGGCACATAGAAAGCACTTAGTAAACAGGAGCTCTTACCAGTCTGTGAGCTCCCTGGGAGCACCTGTCACAGACTCACCTTCATATCCCCCACTGTGCCTAGCATATAATGCTACATTTTCAAAGAAGGGAGGGGCGTTTCCTAGAGAAGGTCCAACTCCATCCTCAGTCAACCTCCCTGGCACTCCTCATGCACAGAACCCTCAGCCCCTGGGGACCTCAGATGTAAGGGCCAGCAGCTTGGGCTGGCTGAGTCTGAAGGGAGATGATGTCACCTCTGGGGCTGTCAGTCTCGAAGGCCTCAAGCATGCAGACCAACTAGCGAACCTCCCAGGAAGCAGTACCTAGCACTGGGGGATGGGGCTTCAGAAGTGAGGTCTGGGGCAGAGCTGGGGGCGGGGAGTGAAAACACTGACGCTGGCCCAGGGCCAGGCACATAACGTGGATTTTACTTCCATGATCTCCTTGACTGTCAACAAGCACTCTGAGAAAACCACTGCCCCGACCCCTTCCAGGCCTTCATCAGGGGGAAAGGTGCCAGGGGGGCCTGCCGGAGCAGAGAGCCTGCCCCTGCCTACCTCTGTGGATGCCTCACACATAGGAATGGCAGGACGCCCCTGTCATGTGCCCCCTCTGCCCAGGTCAATTCTGTGTGTTCCCGTTCAGTACAGGAGGCCGCTGGTGCAGATGCTGCAGAAGGGATGCCCCTAATGAGGAAGAGACGCCGCCGTGACTTAGACTGCGCCCACCCAGGGAAGGTGCTGAGCGGGACCCTGGCGGTGGCCCCATCTGGATGTAAACCCTGGGCTCAAATATCTGTTATTCCATTACTGTGATTTCTGGTTGTGTCGCCAGGAATATTGCCCATCCAGACACAAATTATGTCCCTGCTGTATTTGTTGCTTCCGTGTTGAAGTTGTGAATAAAACCTGCTCTTTATGTAGAATGTCTGGGCCTCTCCTTCCAGCCACATTTGAGGGCACGAGAGGGAAAGGGGGCTGGAGGACGGCATGTTCAGTGAGACAGCTGGCTCGAAAGAGCCAAGAAAACTTCATGACACCAGCCTACTCGGGACTCCTATTCAGTCGCTCATTCAGCAAGCAGGTACTCGGTGCCTGTTGTATCCGCCAGGTCTTGGGCCAGGTGCTGGGCTCTTACTCTCACCTCTGCCACCTTCCCGCACAGGCAAGTCTCTCATGTTTCCTCGTCTGGACGAGGGAGCTGCCTCCACTACAAGATGGGGTTTTGCTGACCCCATTCCATTTCATCCCCATGCCAGGCTTTGAGGGGAGTGCCCAGGGCATACAAGGGAGTGAGCCGAGCTAGGGTCCAGACCTCGCTGTCTGCTTACTCTCTTCTCTGGCCTTGGGTAGGGTTGCCAGATTTAGCAAATAAAAATACAGGACGCTCAGTTAAGTTCTCATTTCATATAAACAATGAATAATTTTTTCATATGAGATGTCCTAAGCATTGCATGGACATACACAAAAAAATTATTCATTAGTTTATCTAAAATTCGAATTTAACCGAGCATCCTGTATTTTATCTGGGCTTGACCCTCTGATCTGCAAATATTCGGTCGTGAAACAGGCGGGTATTTGGTCCCCGAGGCCCCGCCCGAAACTGACATCCTGGGAACCCCTGATCTTACGTCATTTTCCCCCCCCCGGAGCTTTTGCCCTAAGTTTCCCGGACCCAGCCGGGCGAGGGCCCTGCGCGCTGGTGGAGGCGCTCAGGCTCCTCTCTGCCCCGCCCCCTGGAGTGGGACCACGCCTCGCGGCCGGAGCCGGCCGCGCCCACTCCTCGCGAGAGTACGGCGCCTGCCGAGAAAGGTCCTCAGAGGCGGAAGTGGGGTACCGGAAGCGGCGTTGCCATGGAGTCCGCGGAGGACTGGCTGGTGGAATCCTTGCGCTTGTAAATGCTGTGGGCCTGGGACATGGGCCCTGGTCCTGGAGCTGGCGGGGCTGGGCGAACTGGCGCGGGGTGGAGCGCCCAGGGAGCCCCGGTGTGGGCTGGGCCGGCCTAGCAGTGGGACGGGGCCCACACCGAGCGCTCCGCCTGGAAGTGGGCTCCGGCGTCTGGGAAGCGGCACCTCCCCGTGGGCGCAGCGTGTGCCAGTTAAGAGCCATGGTCGTGGAGGATAATAATCACCCAAGTGACCCGTTATTTTGCGCCAGCCTGAGTGAAACCTTGAGCAGATTATCTCAGTGATTTCTCACATCAGCCTTGGGAAGCCCAGGTGCTCTGGGAGTTCCATTTTACAGAAGGGGACCGAAGCTCAGGGATAACTGTGACCGGCCTGGTCGCAGTCACACGGGGGCTAAAATATGCAACAAGACCTGCTCCCAGGTCTGCTTTGCTCCAGAGCCTGGGCCCCCACCCACCGAACCGTGCCGCCGTCTCAGAGTTTTAAACAGATGTAGAGTGCTATGCACCGTGTGACGTTGTGTCTTTATCATGCAGGTACCAAGATTTCCATGCGTTCGACCTTTCGGGAGCAACTCGAGTCCTTGAATGGTTTGGTGACAAAGGTGATCTTGCCGTGCCTGGCCCTGAAGGAGATGGACTCTTACTCCTCAGGCTGGACCTCTTATTGCTAGCTAAGCCGGGAGGGACCCAACCCCACACTTCTGGGAGTCTGAGGCCTCCTCTTGGTCTTGTAGCAATTTCAGCCCCGTCAGCACTTAGCATTCCTCTTAGTAAGATCTAGATCCCTTCCCTTCCCCAATACAAGGCTGCATACCAACGGTGGAGGAATTTATCTTTGCTTTGGAGGTGTTGGTGAAATTTCTAGACCCAGCCATGGTCCAGGATCTTTCTAGCAGTTTGTCGCAGCTACTTCTGCTTCTTTTTCCAGGAGTCTTTGTTGCTGGCTATGAAAGCCTGAAAAAAAACGAGATTCTTCATCTGATACTACCTCTCAGACTTTCTGTAAAAGAAAACCAGGTAACGTGAAATACAAACGCTGAGTATACATGTCTACTTTTTATTCATTTATTAAACCTTTAGAGAGTTCCTCTGTCTACTAGGTATTGTCCTGGATACTAGTCAGAGAGAGGGACAAGCACTGGTCCCGCCCTGCTTGTCTCACGGGGAGGCAGGGAGGCACCAGAGGTAAGTGCTACAGGATGTCTGAGGTTTACAGAGGGCTCCTAGAGGAAGAGGTCAATTTTACTTTATCAAAAATAGATTTAGGGAGCCATTAGAGTATAGAGGGTGGTTGAAGCCCTTAGAATGATTAAGATCACCTAGGATGACAGTGGTTGTGTGTAAGGAATAAAAGCAGACAATGTCTAAAGACCAAACCTTAGGGAATACATTGCAGAAATGGTTAAAGGAAGATGAACCCACAACAGATACTAAGAAGGAATAGTCTTTGAAGTAGGAGTCTCAGAAAAGGGCAGTGTTTCAGAAGCCAAGAGAAGAGAATGTGTGAAGAAGAAAAGAGTGGGTAGCTGTGTGATGTTGCTATAAAATCACTCAATCTCATCTGAGGACAGCCTGGCCTTTGTTGCCCTGGGGGGGATTTCCTGCCTGGTGCTCTTGAGCTCCCCGATCCCCACCACTCAGGCTTGAGCCGGAGCTCACTCACCCAGACTGAGCCTTGAGGAGACATCTTATTTACCTCCTACCTCATGCCTGGCTTTCCTCTTTTTTTTCTTATGGCTGCCTGCTTTCTCTCTGCTTCCAGTCCCTCATATGGAGAGAGTGGAGTCTAGTGGCTGAGAGCATGAACTTTGGTTAGACAGACTTGGGTTCAGATCCACAACATAATCCCTGTGTGACCTTAGAAAAGTTGCCTAAGTTCCCTGTGCCTTTGTTTTGTCATTTTAGAATAGGGGTCATTACAGTACATACATGACAGGGTAGTTGTAAGAGTTCAATGTGATAAAGTAGATAAAGCACTGAACACAGTGCCTGACACAGTGAACACTGGATAATTGGTGGTGGTTACATTTTTATTGCTAGAAGGACCCACCTGACTTCCAGTGGGAGGTGCAGGAGGAATGGGGACAGGGTAGTTGACTGATACGTTCCAGCTGTCTTGGATGAAGCTATGAAGCTTTGGTGACGACTCTAAGGCCTGGAGTGTAACACTTGTGCTCTCATGAAAGGGCCTGGGGAAAGGTTGGGAGAAGGGTTTTGGATGTGCAGGAAGGAAGGGAAGCTGTGTAGGCAGCTGAGACCAACATTTACAGGTAGCAGCACACCGAGGCCCGGCAGGGGGAAGCATCTTTTGTCAGCGAGGGGCTTCGTGCTGGCGTCTGACCTAGAGCTCATCGAAGTGTTCCTTTGGAAAGCAGGCTCTCTGATGGGCCGCCCCTTTGTATTTTAGGGCTTATGCCCAGAAAGAGATTTCAAGGTGTGCCACGGAGGATTTTCAGACACGTCTGTCTTTGATCTGAAGCACGTGCCAGACACCAGGTATGGTCAGCTCTGTGACCCAGACCTTCCATTCAGGATGGAGTGGCTGGAGCTGTCAGGGGTATCCTCCCTCTTTAGCACCACCATCTACCCCTACCCCCTCAGCACACAAGCACACACACACCCAGATTTGGAATATAAAAGAAACCCTCGTTGTTTGGTAACCTGATGGTCCCACACAGACCACAGACCTTTGAACTAATGTAACCCCTAGATCGCTGGAGTTGTTCCAGGGAATAGAGAGTAGAAGGATGCCCTTAGTTTCTCAGAGCACTGGTGGTGGGTAGTTGGGACTAACAGCTCTGTTGGCAGAGGCTGAGTCTCCAGGTTAGGGTTGTGTGTTCAGGCTCCATGCTGGTGTCCCCTCTCAGATACATCATGCCCTGTGGAAGCCTGGGCTCAGTCCCATGGCCCTCCAGGAGCTCTGGGTCGGTCCCTCAAGTGGAGTGAGCCTGCTCCTCATCTGTGAAATGAGGATGGCTGGTCTTAATGATCTCTTCCTGCAGCAAGCTTTCCTGGTACGGGGAGTGTAGGGGTCCCAAGCTGAGTGGTCCGGGAAGGGAAAAGGCTGGGGGTATGTGGGTGAGCTCACTGGACTGTATAAGGAATGGACTGATCCTTCTGTCTGTTACGAATAGGTTGCTGGTAACCACTGGTCTTCCGGGTTCTTACCTGCATGTGTGGCAGGTCACAGAGGACAGTGGTGAGTGAATTTGACTTGGTAGGGCTGGGTTGTGGGGAACCCTGATACCCATACACCCCTACCCCCTAATCTAAGCCAGGTAAGAAGTAGTCACAGAGCCAGGTGGGAATTAAAATGTAGTGTCTTCTTTAACATGGGCAAAAATGAGTTAGCAACCACAGCGTGGTGTACAGCTCCCAGATGGAGCTTCCTGCAACTTGCTTCCGGAATTCAGTTCACCTACCCAGTCATGGACAGAGAACCTGGCGTACCCCGTGCCTCTCCCCCAGGCGGGGGCAGAGGCAAGGAGGTCACCTCGCTTTGTAGGCATGCTCATCTCGGGGATGGAAAATAATGAGGGAGCAAGAGGTTCAGCCTACCAGTCTCCCTCTTCATGAAGTCAGTCTCCTCCCTAACAGGGGAATGGGAAAAGGAGCCGGAAGTGTTACCCTGTTCCCTTCAGGAGGAAAGGTGAATTCGTCCACGCAGAATAGCCTTCCCTCCAGCAATGGGTTTGTGGGTTTCCCTGCCAGGCAGGCACCAAGAGCGGGCGGCCCTGATTCAGCCCTTTCCATCTCTGCTTCCGTTAGAGCATTGTTGGCCAGAATGGAAGTGTGCCTCAGAGGCACAGGCCACCGCTCTTGGGACTGCCCCTTGCTTTGGTGCCTTTATTGAAAGATGGTTGCTTAACCATAAATACAAGGATTTATTTCTGGACTCTTAGTTCTGTTCCATTGATCTTCATGTCTGTCCTTATGCCAGGAACTTGTAGTTTTTTATCTTTGCCTAAAAACAGGCCATGTGGGACAGCAGTTGCTTAAAGAAGAGAGGGAGCAGAGTCTCACTAACCATGTGGAGGCGCCCGGAGCTGCCTTTTATCCAGACAGTGTTTGGAGTACCATACTATAGCCCCAGCCCCAGGGGAGCTAATAGCCCAAGGGGGCTTGTTCTGACACGCCTATGAGAGTAGCAAATAAGATAAAGAGTTCTCTTTCCCTAGATACTAGTGCAGAATATTCCAGAGCCTGGGGAAGGTTGACCAGCTGTTTTCCTAGAAGCTGGAAAAGCATAGTGTTATCTAAGGTGAATTTTCCAAAGTCCAGGTGTTGACCCACAGCTCTGATGTCTCAAAAACCTGATTTTGTTAGCACATCCTAAACGAATCTGTTTATAGAGGCAGACGCACTCACCAGACTCACAAGACTGCTGTAAACCAGAATGCAGTTTTATTAGTTCATAAATAAAAAAATAAGTGTCCCTGAAATTGGACATTCCAGGTCCTTACTGTTTGTCTATGGAAAACCTGACCTCATCGAAGACTGCGTGATAAACAAAACCGTAACAAGAAGAATCAGCTCAGAGGTTTCCAAATTGTGTTTTCGGAAGCAGTGTTCGGCACAAAGTATAAAACTTGGGAAGGCATTGCTGCCCAGGCCTTGGTGCCATCCAGGCCCCTGGAGTAGCGTCTGAGGCCTTTTCTCTCCTAACTGGGGCTGTGGAAACCTTTGAGTTGGATGAATACATATCTAAAGGTCTCAGCTGAATGTCACCTGCTGTATCCACTTTGAAGCTCAATGTTCAGTCTGGTGTGGCTCCCTCCACCCTGGACAGGCCCCAGTGTTTTCTTCGCCCCCATGGCTGGACAGCCCCCTCTCATGGACACCAGTGTCCTTTAGATGTGTTAATACATTTGCTCACTATTGGAGGTGTGCGCACCATTCTGACTCCTTAGGGAGTGTGCGTACCTCTGCTCTGACCTGTTCTGTGTTGGGTGAATCCTCAGACACAACCTTCTCTTATGGCCAAGTTCTTAGAGGTGTCTCACTGTGTCTTTTGTTTTGATTTCCTAGTCGTTTCTCTTCTCCGTTTGGGGCTGGTTTGCTAAATGTGGTATGGATTCCCCAGAGGAGGGCGTTTTACCACGGACCAGAGAGAGGAGGAGGAGGAAGGCTGAATTTCTTTCTGATTATAATTACAGAGCAACTCTCCAGTCAGGAGGCTCTGAAATTTTCCACCGCATCTTTGAAATAGGTCTTTGAAGGCTTTCCCTTGGCCGCCTCCTTTTCCCCATCAGAGGACAGATCATATCTGAGGACCATCCCCTGGCTCAGAGCGGTAGGCCCTGGGGAATCTGTTCCAGGCCCCTCAAGAGTGTGTGGAAAGGGAAGAGGGAGCTGCTCACGTGTGGCCCAGGAAAGGCAGGTGCGCTGTGCCCGGGCGGGTTTGAATCACAGCCTCGCCGGCACTCCCCAGAGATAAACTCTAGTCCCAGGGCTCAGCTGTCCTGTCTGCTCCAAGCCTCCGCAGCCTGTGTGGAAGGAATGATTGAGTTCAGCAAGTCCAGGTCGAGGGCATTGGGAGTCCTTGGGCCTTTGCAGCAACACCCAAGGGCCTTCTGCATTCTAGCCCAGCCCAGACACGTGTCCTGTGCCCTCCTTGGTTGGGAACAGTCTCAAGGGGGCTCGCTGCCTTGTGCTTGCTTGCCAAGCCATGTTAGTATTCCTTCTCATCCATTCCTTCCTCAGTCTGACTTTCTCCTGTGCTTTAGAATCCAAAAAGTAGATAGATGTCTGTTTTCTTCAGAGAATGTGGTGACCAAATAATGAGCCTCTCTTGGAGCAAGAAAATATAAAATGGAAATACATATCTCCCATTAAGTAGTTTGTACAGCAAATGGCTCTAAGTGGCTGCCACCAAGAGAAGCCTCCAGGGTAGAATGCAGAGGTGAGATCCAAGCAGGCTGAGCAGACACCTGAAACTGGATCCAGCTTGGGGTCAGGCGTGTCCTTCCTCCGTTCGGTGCAACAACGATGTGGACCCTTCTGCCCGGTTTCCATTTGGAGATGTGGGTGTTGTGACCTTTACCGGCTAGGCATCCGCAGGTTGCTTGAGGTCATGGAACATGTGTTTGAAGAAATACTATTAGTTCATGAACTCTGTACCTGTTATTTTCACTTAAGGTGTAAGTGACATCTTAAGTGTGTTCTTCGCTTTTTTCTATCATTATTTGTTCTTTGTGAAACTATAAAAAGCCAGAATGCTTTTGGGGTTTTGAGATGGCTGCTATGATTCATTATCTCCTGTTTGCAAAACTGTTTGTAAGACAAATTAGAAATGAATTAAAGTGCTTCTGACAGTTTCAGAAATGTGAATGTAATCCAGGGCGTTTATGTCTCATGTCCTCTCTTGCCAGCTGTCAGCCCCCTTTCCTCCTTGACCTTCTACATGTACAAGGGAAGACTGCTGGCTGGCCTTCACCTTGTAATGTTTCAGGCCTTCATCAGCATCCCGGATTTTAGCCTCTTGTGCTTCCCTTCCCCCAGACGTCATTCAAGCCGTCAGCACCATTGCTGTGCAGGAGAAGGAGGGCAGTCTCTGGCCCAGGGTGGCTGTCTTCTCTTCGATGGCACCCGGAGTCCTCCACGGGGTGAGGCTCAGCAGTCTGAAGGTCGTGGATCTGGAATCCCAGAAGACCACATACACCTCAGGTACCACAGCCATTCACCCCTTGCCTGGCGTCTCCTGCTCACTTCCATCCTCCTCAGCTGTGTGAAGAACTGAGTTCACCCGCGCGGGCCAGGTGCTGGGGAAACCAGATGGATGCGAGGCAGGCCCTAGCCTCAAGGGGCCTCCGTTCTGGGGCTGGAAGAGGCAGTCCCAGGACCAGCAGCATCCCAGCTGGGTGGAGCATGGCAAGGTGCCTGGCGTTGGTGGGAAGCTTCCAGAGGAAGGGGTGTGTGACCAGCCAGACTCCTGTGACTCCAGCACTTTTCTCTGTCACCCTCTGTCTTCCAGGGGTCAGTGACAGTGAGGAGCTAAGTAGCCTGCAGGTCTTGGATGCAGACACCTTTGCCTTCTGCTGTTCCTCAGGCCGGCTGGGGCTTGTCGACATCCGCCAGAAGTGGGCGCCATCAGAGAATGTCAGCCCCAACCTTGGGGCTGCTGGAGGGAGGTGGTGTGCTGAATTTGGGGGCCGGGGCCCTGGGCCCAGCATTGCCAGCCTTGGCTCAGACGGACAACTCTGTCTTCTGGATCCCCGGGATCTCTGCCATCCTGTGAGTTCCGTCCAGTGCTCAGTGTCTGCACCCAGCCCCGACCCAGAGCTGCTGCGAGTGACCTGGGCGCCAGGCCTGGACAGCTGTTTGGCCATTTCAGGTACTGCTGAGCAGTATTTTGTGTCTATTACTTGAGCTCTTTCTCCCAGGGAACCGTATGGTGCTCAGGAAGGAGCCTGCAGCCCCGTAATAAATCTGGCCCCAGAAGTGAAAGTCCCTCCCAGAGAAGCTCCAGATCAACCCTCCAGGTTCTTCCATGGCAGGGCCTTCCCCGTTCTAGCTACTGAACTGTGACATTGGTAGCAGGCATTCCTACCTGAGCAGGAATTCAGTGCTGAGGTTGGCGAGAGGCCTGCCGATAGCGAGGCACTAGGATAGTCACGGGGCAGTACCAGGAGGAGGTGAGAGGATCACAGAAGTGCTTCTTGGTCTGCTTGCTTTTCGAATTCTGGCAAGCTGCTGGGTCAGCAGGCTCCTGGGTCTGGCCCAGCAGTTTCTAGCTGACTGAGGGTCTCTAATATGAGGGTATCTAAAAGTCAGTGGGAAGGACCCATGGAAGGGGAGAGGTTGAAAGAATAGTCGAGAGAGTAAGAAAAGATCATTGATAATGGCAGGATCCAAAAAGAGCAGAAGAAAAGAACCAAGCTTGGTGGAGGAACTGTCCCTTTGGTAGCAAGAAGACAGCAGGATGGAGTGAGTGTGGGTGTAGCTAGGTGGTGGGGAGACGTGTGGGTGCTCCTCCGTAAAGGCTTCTGTTTTCCCCCATCAAGCAGGAGGCAAGGCCATCTGCTGACGGGGATCCAGATGCAGAGGGATTAGAATTAAAGGCAAGTGGAACAGGTTTGAAAGAGTCTCTTAAGCCTCAGTTTCCCCGGGGAAAATAATAGTACCTATTTCATGCAGTTGTGAGGATTAAAAGAACGCATGTCCAGTCTTGGCCTCGGGCCTGGCACATACCGGATGAACAGCAGAAGTACACTGTCCCCTGCCCTATGGAGTCATCAGCTGCCGACATCGAGGGCGGAGCTTACGTGCCCTTCAGCTGGCCTTAAGCATCTTTTTCTTTTTTAAGTAATCGCCACCCAATGTGGGGCTCAAATTCATGACCCCAAGATCAAGAGTCAGATGCTCTGCAGACTGAGCCTGCCAGGTGCCCCTGGCCTTAAGCATCTTGTTATTACTTGATTTCTCATCCTATAACCTGTTTTGGTGCCGAAGAGCAAACTATAAAAATTACTTTAGGGACGCCTGGCTGGCTCAGTCGGAGTGTGCACTCTTGATCTCGGGGTCATGAGTTCAGGCCCCGTGCTTGGGCATAGAGATGACTTAAAAAACAAACAATAAAAATTACTTTCCAGTGTCAATCTTCTCTTTTCTCATTCTTGCTTAGGTTTTGATGGGACAGTCCAGGTCCATGATGCCACATCTTGGGATGGAGTGGGGAGCCAAGTAGAACCTCTCTTCACTCACAGAGGTCACATCTTCCTGGAGGGCAGCCAGATAGACAGTGCTCCACTGGTCACTACCCACACTTGGCACCCACACAAACCACGGACTCTCTTGTCGGCAGCAAGCGACGCCTCTCTGCACGTGTGGGACTGGGTGGACCTCCGTGCGGCCTGCTGACTCCAGCGTCTTCCTGCCCAGGCCTTGACGAAGAGGAGGAGCTGCTCTAGAACCAAGGTACTGACTTAGGTCCCTGTTACCAGCCAAGTGGCCTTGGGCAGGTCACCCAGCTTCTGCCCCCAGGTTCTTTATTTGTAAAATGAGCATGATAAGAGCTACCTCTCAGGATTATTGGGAAAGTTAGAAGGGATGGATTAAAAACCAGGATGCATAGCACAATAAATATTTGGTAGCCCCTGTTAGAGCCGGGAGCCCCATTTCCCCCCAAGTGTAGAATGACAGTGTTTTATTCCTGTCTGTATTCACAATATCAAGAGTGAAGAAAAAAACAACAAATGTTGTAAACGCGTTTTGTGAACTTAATTTTTACAGAACTCAAAATGTAAAAGGGCCAGTAAACATGAAAAAAGTTGACCCCAGTAGCAATGAAGGAAATAACAATTAAAACAAGATTATGCCCTTTTTTTATCTACCAAGTTGCCAAATTTAAAACATTACTGCTTTGGACAGCTGATGAAGGTGGCCTGATGACCCAGTTCAGGAGACACAAAAGTAGCAGAGTGGTTCCTGCCCCCGGCGGTACGTGGGGTGGGACCGGTGTTCAGTCAAACCATAATTTGTATACCCAGTCTCCTGTTAAATGGCACTGAAAATGTTCTGATCTTTCACTGTTATAAATAGCGTGAACAACGTTTGTATCCATGAACAAAAGCCTGTAGGATACATTTCTAAAATTAAAATTGCTAAGGCAGAGGATCCGTGCGTTTTTAGGTTCTATAAATACGGCCAGTGTGCCTTCCCCGGAGATTGTGCCCTTTGTGATGGCAGCAGGGATGGGTCTGCCCGTCTTTCTTCCCTCACCAGCCAAGTCTCCCTAGTGGCTTTTTGGCCTTTGCCAGTCTGATAAGTGAAAAATCATGACTTGTAGTTCTCTACTTGTAGTTTTTTACTTCTTGGATGTGTGAAATTGAGACTCCTCATGTATTTAAATGTTTGGGGGCAAATATTTCTCAAGATGAGAATAACTGGGGTGGGAGATAGGTGTTCTCACCAGTTCCACCTGCCGCAGAGATTAGATGGCCCCTCTCTTGGGTGGTCCGTACTGGAACACAACACCTGCGCCAGGGTGGTGCTTTCCCACACCTGCCCGCGCCCTCCCAGGGGAGTAGACCCAACGGACGTCGCTTTTTGGTGGCCCATAGCAAATATTAAAGTGTACCTGCATTCCTGTTACATAGAATTTCTCACTGGCACACTTGTTAAGGAATTTTCAGCAAGTTTGCTTTTGAAATTATTTGATGACTCGTCAGTTAGGGCTCTGAGTTCTTAAAAAATAATTTTATTGAAATATAATTCACATACCATACAACTCAGCCATTGAAAGTGTACAATTTGGTGGTTTGGGTATGTTATTTTTAAGGATTGTGGTTAAAATATATGTAACAATTTGCCAGTCTTTTTCATTTTTAAGTGTACAGCTCCGTAGAATTAAGTGCATTCGCAGTGTTGCACAACCATCACCACTTCTAGTTCCAAAACTTTTTTGTCCCCCAAACAAGCTCTGTGACCATCATGGGCTCTGGCTTGCTGGCCGTCAGTGGGCACACTTGTATCCATCAGCTCAGGCCGCCCTAACAGAACATCACAGACTAAAGGCTCACACAGCAGAAGCTTCGCTGCTCACAGTCCTGGAGGCTGGAAGTCCAAGACCCAGGTGCCAGCACGTTTCCTTCGGAATCCTCTTCAGGTGGCTTAATAGGGCCACCATCTCTGTGTGCTCACTGTGTGCTCACCACTCTGCGGCCCTGCAGAGAGCGCTCTGGTCTCTGTTCCTCTTACAAGGACACCAGTCCTTTCGGATTAGTGCCCCACCCTCATGACTTCATTTAACCTTACTTACTTCTTGAAGGCCTTAGCTCCAAATACTGTCACGTGGGGGGTTAGGGTTTCAACATAAGAATTTGGGGCAGGGGCACAAGTCAATTCATAGCACTTAGGAATTATTTTGAAGTTAGAAAAACCTGAGAAATTTTCAAATGAAATGTTTTTATTTATTTAACAATGAAGTTGAGGGAGTGTTATATATTGGAGAAGTTTAATTTAAAATATTCAGTTTCAAGATGTGATCATTTTTACCATTTTTCTAAAGTCTTCTTTCTGTCCTTTCCCCACACCCCCCACTCCCCCGTGAGAACTGATCCTGTAGAGCTCTTCTTGGCTCTGTTAGTGACGTCACACTGTTGAAATCGGCCATGATGGAAAGACTTACCCACAGAAATTGGCAAATACTACAGCATACCGCAGGTTAAGCTCTATTATTTCACCAAATAAAAGCAGAAATGAGTCAGTTAGAAAATAGTAGAATTGATGCATGAATTCAAAAGCTGCCAGCTAGAAAGACTGAACCCACACCAAGTAATTCAGCTGCAGGAATTCAGTTATGAGGCATCTGAAAGGATGCAGGGGAAGGTGGGACGCATGAGAGGAGCAAAGCAGGAAGTTAGCCAGAGGGACAAAGGGGTGGGGTGTGGGTGTGACCAGAGGTGAACAGTGGGGCCTCCCAATGGGAAGGGGAGCACGGCAATCCTGCTGGGCAATCCTGCTGGCCGGGGCTGGGACTGCAGAGGAGACAGCCAAAGACTGCATCAAGTACAGAGACGGGAGAGGTCCCCTGGCTCCTCTCCTTCGGCCCTCCGGCAGCCTGCCTGTGCCCTGGACCAGCTGTGACGGGAGCTCACCAGCAGGGTAGCCTGCACCTGCAGTACAGAGCAGGGGGGAGACGGAACCGGGATGGACCTGAGGACAAACAGATGACTGGCACCACATCTAAACCTCTACGAATTAAGCAAGAAAAAGGAAAAAAAAAAGAAAACAAAGATTATAAGAGAACAATGTGTAAAATTCTGTGTTAATTTGAAAAGCTCAAGATACAGTTAATTTTCTTAAAAACTGATATTTGTAAACTACTTTTTAGTAGAAAATCTGAATTCTCCAATACTCAAGAAAGAAAAACCTGGAGAGGCGCCTGGGGGCTCAGTCGTTAAGCATCTGCCTTCTGCTCGGGTCATGGTTCTAGAGTCCTGGAATCGAGCCCCACATCGGGCTCCCTGCTCCGCGGGAAGCCTGCTTCTCTCTCTCCCACTCCCCCTGCTTGTGTTCCCTCTCTCGCTGTCTCTCCCTCTGTCAAAAAATAAAATGTGTAAAAAAAAATTAAAACTCGAAGGACTAGCACCAAAAAGGACGTTGGTGGTGGGGCAATTTTGTGGTTACAGTTTTTTTCAAACTTTTAAAGAACAGCAAATTCTCATGCTAGAGACATTTTCTTTCTGAGTTTTGTTTTGTTTTTTTTAAGATTTTATTTGAGAGAGAAAGCACAAGCAGGGAGAGGGGCAGAGGGAGAGGGAGAAGCAGACTCCCCACTTAGCGCAGAACCCAATGCGATGCGGGGCTCAATCCCAGGACGCTGAGCCAGTCAGATGCTTAACCAACTAAGCCACCCGGGTGTCCCAACTAGAGACATTTTCATTTAAAAAAATCTGGGGAACTAGCCAATTCCTATAATCATAATACTAAAATGTGGCCCAGAAACTGTGCTCATAGACACACACACACACACACACACACACACACACACACACACACACTCGCTCAAACTCAGTTATTAATATGACAGTGGCCCTCAACACTGTCAGCTGCAACATGCCTTCTGTGAACACCCATTTACTGTACTGAAATAAAATTTTACAGGGAAAATTGAGTACTTACAATTTCAAAACGAGTAGAACTACAAAAGAATGTGTACAATCCAATACATAAATGTTCACACTTCTGCATAGGGATGTAATCAGATGCTTGCTCTGTAAAATCATTGAGAACAGGACAGCTACAACTACGGACTGATACAGGTGTGCTGTATTTGTGACTCACACCAGAGAGTCGATGACATGATTTTTCTGAACTGGTAAGGGGCGCCTGGCTGGCTCGGTCAGTGGAGCGTGCGACTCTTGATCTTGGGGTCGTGAGTTCGAGGGGTAGAGTTGGGGGTAGAGTTTACTTAAACACTTGGGAAAGTTCTGAACAAAAGAATGTACTCTTTTCCCTAGTTTTATATAGTAGTTGAGTTTCTGGGAAATTCAGATATATTAAAACTGTCCTCCTATAGATGTAAAAAGGTAGGTTCTAGGCTCACATAGCTATAAAAAGTTTCCCTCCATCGGTGGTTCTCAAACTTCCACATGTGTCAGAATCACCTAGAGGACTGGTTAAAACGGATTGCTGAGCTCCAGGGTTTCTGGTCGGTAGGAGTATTAGCCAGGCTTTCGTGAGAGGGGCAGGCCAGCAGGAGATCTTTCACACACGCACACACAGGCTTGACCTTACATAACGGGGAGCTGGGCCAGCAGTCTCTGTGAGACTGTTGTCCCCGTGTCTGCGGCTGGAGCCTGGCCCCCCCTTCCCCCCCCCCCGCCCCCGGGCAGGCAGCCGGGAAGGGAAGGGGGATGGAAGAAGGGAGAGCCAGGACCAGCCGGGACAGGGCAGTCTCGCTGTCTGCAGTCCTGATGATGTGCGTGTCCTGCAGGAGGAACTGCACCCTTCACCGCGGAGCTAAAAACGCCTGCGGCCCAAGGCCCGGGGGAAGCCGAAGGGATCGCGGGAACATAGAGCGCTGCATGCACAAAAGCGCCAGTGTGAGCTACAGATGCACCTGCTCCAGGGCTCAAGCGTCCAAAAAAAAAAAAAAAAAAAAAAAGGGCTGCCACTTCAATTCCTCCAAATCTCCCCCCTGAACGACCCTTGGGGCTCACTCTACCTGGAAACATACAGGGAAATGAATTCCGGGGAATGTGTTTCCACCTGGCCAAGTCACCGCATTAGGAGGTGCAGCTCGAGAATCTGCATTTGGAGTAAGTTCCAGGTGCTGCGAGTCCGTGAACCGCCCCCGAGCGTCCCTGCCCTCCACGCACGCCCCGCAGCGCTGGCTGTGCAGCACCGTGTCAACGATCGCCTTACCGCCTTACGGCCGTGTGGCCCCTGCCACCACATGACAGCTGTGCTTCCCGTTTGTGGGGCAGCTACACATCCTCACCTCCAGTTTCCAGAATATTCCTTTGGGAACCTACACAGTCCCTGGGGAGGAACGCCGGGTTCTCTCAGCTACTCCAGGAAGAAGCCCCAGAGAACCCCGAGAGGGACCCGAAGACCATCCGCGATGCACATCGACGTCGGCCCAGGGTCCGCTCCAGTTCAGCGCTGGGCAAAGACGGTGGAGACTCAGCACGGAAGGGAGAGAGCGTTCGGGAACTGCTTTGGCCTCACAGAAATTCAAAACGCAAGAGAAAGATGTGGAGAGGTTAAAAAGGAGGAAGCAAGAAACACAGCGCACGGCCAAGTAAGCGCAGGTGAGTACCGCCGCCGCGGGCAGCCGTTGCGCCTGTGTGTGCTCAGAAGGCTGTGTTCCAGAACAGTGTGCCGCGGTCAAGGAGGAGAAGGGCAGGCCGGAGGAGGCCCCTCGAGGGGAGTCGGGGATGCTCTCAAAGGCCGTGTCCCGTTTTCTCGGGCACTGCCTCCCGCCGCCGCCCCTCTCTGGAAGGCCGGGGTAGGGGCCCCACCCGGCCGCAGCCGGCTGGCTCGGGGCTGGCCGTGAGGCGCAGGGCCCGCAGTCCGTTCCCCGGGACGAGCCAGGCTGCACGTCTCCCATCGGAGTCCGCAGGGAGAGCGGAGTCAGGGCCAAGGGCACCCCACGTGTGTGAGGCTGGGCTTCTGGGGAGCGGGAACAAGTCTGGAAGGAGCCCTGGCACGAGCCCGTGTGGAGAGAGAAGCACAGGGGAGGAGGAAACCAGCCGCCTAAGGCTCGTGGTCGGCGGCGGCCAGTAAAGTGTGCGTGAATGAAGGAAACGCGAACCGTCCTCCCATACGTGCTGGCTGTGGCTGGCCGTGGTCAGCCGGTCCAGTCGCCGGGGTCAGGGAGGGAAGCGGGTGTCCCACAGCTGTGGGAGCAGGCGGGGAGGCTAGAGGTCCCAGCACTCACGGAGCATGGCTGTGCGCCAGGCACCCTGCTGGCTGCTGGGATAGGAGGTCCAGACGCGTACAGACCCGGGCCCGCTGGGGGGGGGGGGGGGGGGGGGGGAAGGCCCCCCCGGGGGGGGGAGGGGGCCTGTGATCTGGGAGCACAGAGGGCTGAGACCAAGTGTGATCAGGGAAGGGGATATTTGAGTTGTGTCCTTCCCTCAGGCGAAGGGGAGGGTGGGGTGTTCCAGGCAGAGGGAAGCGAGAAGGGGCACAGCCCGAGCCTGGGGGAGACAGCAAGTTGGAAATAGGCTGAGAAACGGGCTGGGGCCGCTCGGTGACGGCCCTGCGTGCGTGCCGGAGCGCGGAGCCCGGGAGTCGCTGAGGGCTTCGGAGGGAGAGCGCCGACGGGAGGCGGCTACTGCGCATGTCGCGCTGCGGGGCGGCCGGCCTCCTCCGGGCCCGGAAGAGCGCGCGGGTCTGACCGCCGCCCCGCTCTGCGCGGCATTTCCTCCAGGAAGCATAGCGGGTCCGTGAGGTGGTGCCGATTTTCTCTGCCCGGCGCCGCTCCTGGGACGTGCGCAGAATGGGTGCCGGGAAGTAAGCCAGACGCAAAGGACAGACGTGTGATGCTGCCTGCACGAGGGACCCAGAACAGGCCAGTTCGCGGAGACAGAAAGCAGAATAGTGGTGGCCGGGGGCTGGGGCAGGGCCACGGGAGTTCGTGCGGAACGGATTCACTGAAAAGTTTGGGACCATGAAAAAGTTTTGGTGTTGGAGGGTGGTAATAACTGCACAGAAATGCAAATGTACTCAATGCCACTGAATTGTACACTTAAACATGGTAAAATGGCAACTTTTATGTTGCGGATGTTTTATCACACATTTTTTTTAAAAAGTGGATGCCAGGGCCCGGTGCTTTAGGGGGCCCAGCCCCATCCAGCCCTCCTCTAGCCATGCCCTTTTCCAGGGGTGAGAAGGCCCCGGGCCTCGGCTGTGGGCCCACAGAGCCTACACCCCTCCTCCAGGCTATCTTCCGGGCACCCGGGACCCAGAACGTCCCGTCCGAATGGCCAGAGCCTGCGTCCAGGGCCTTGCACACCCTCTTCCATTCCGTCCTCTCGAGGGCAGGCTATGCGGTTGGCGTGTGCACACTGGGCCTGAGAGGTGGCCGGAGGGGCCGTCGGTGGGGAGTGTGGCCGGAGCCCACGGGCACACACTGGAGCACCTGCGCACTTGTGGGGGGCCGGGGGGCTCTCCAGGCTCAGAGTGGGCGGGGCAGGGCCCGCTGGTCCCACACGGCCACCTGCCATCCTGCACCGTGCAGGAGTCCGCAGTACATTCGGAACCTGGCTTCATCACTTCATGCCCTCCAGGATGGCTAGAACCAGAAAGACAGACTAGGGGCGCCTGGCATGCGACTCTTGATCTTGGGGCTGTGAGTTCGAGCCCCACACTGGGTGTAGAGATGACTTTAAAAAAAAAAAAAAAGACTATACCTGATTTGGCAGAGGGTAGGATGTGGAGAAATCTGAACCCTCGTACACCACTGGTGGAATGTCAAATGGTGCGGCCTCTTTGGAAAAGAAGGCTGGCCCTTCCTCAAAAGGTTAAACCTTGAGTTACTCTATGGCCCAGCAATTCCACTCCTCAGTATTTATCCACCAGAACTGAAAACATGTGTCCACACAAAACTTGTCAAAAGGTGTACACGAACATTCATGGCAACGTGACTCACAATAAGCACAGAGGGAACAAGCCAGCCAATGATGTCCTCCAGCTGATGACGGCGCTAACAGTGCGGCCCGTCCGTGTGCTGGGGTATCAGAGGCCGGAAGGAGGACTGCAGCACAGACTCCTGGCACAATGTGGATGAGCCTGCAGACAGGACGCTGAGGGGAAGGAGCCAGTCACAAAAGGCCACTCACTGTAGGACTCCGTTTCCGGGAAACGTTCAGAACAGGCCTGTCCCGAGAGACAGAAGGGAGAGGAGTGGTGGCCAGAGGATGAGGGCTGTGGGGACTGGGGAGTGCCTGCTGATGAATTTGGGGTTTCCTGGGGTGAAGAAAATGGCCTAAAATAGGATAGTGGTGACAGTTTGCACAATCTTATGAATATCCTGAAAACAACAATTTTAAACTTAAACCCACACAAATCTGGTGTTCCACATCATACTGAAGGATATTGTGAAGGGGAGCGGCTAAGAATTTAAGCGTGCTAGCTTGACTTAGAACCCTTCCTATTTAGCCAAGTGCCGTGGGACGCTCTGGCCCAGGGCTCACAGTGATGGGTTGTGAATGATGGCGAGGTGTCTGGGGAATCAGACCTGGGAACCAGTAGTGACGGTTCTGCCCTTCCCTGTGTTGCAGATGAGAACACGGGCGCAGCGAGGTGACGGCCCGGACGGGGAGGCGGCCCGCGGCCCCTGGGTGAAAGGGCCCAGCTGTCCAGAGCGGCGGTGGGAGACAGGCTCCTGCAGCGTTTGCCCCCATGGGCCTTCAGCACAGGAGCGTCTCACAGGCCAAGAGAGATGCTGTCCTTGCCTCCTAGGCTATGGAAGGGACTCTCAAGGGTCATTTTGAGCACACACAATCATTCCCTTGTGTACGGACTTTACAGGCCAACCCCCAGAGCCGCTGTGGCTCCCAGCAGTGCGCAGCTGGGGGCTGATAACAGGGCGATCAGGACCTCCCCCCGCCCCCCCGCCATGGTGCAGTCACATCAGGGCCCAAAGCCCAGCTCTGCGCGGTGACCCCACACCTGTGGTGGCTGTGATGGTTACAGGACCCCCCTCAGCAAAGGGCTCAGCGCAGGGCCGGCCTCCCTGAATATGCAGCGGGCCGAGCTGGCCTTGTTCTGCCTTGCCTTCCTGACAGGTCTCCCAGAGCTGTGAGGACACTGGGAGGCTCGAGTCCTGGCGAGAAGTAAAGGGAGAGGGTCAGTTCTCTGGGGGCAGAGCAGAACTCTCAAAACCAGTGAGGGGGCTCCCATGCTGGGCTGAGTGGGGGGGGGGCTAGGTCACCTGCAGCCCTGGGGGCCCTCAGCCTCACAAAGCCTCTGCCCCGGGGCTGTGTCTATGACAACCTGATGAAAATGGCTCACCCTTTGATTATTCCACTCAGGATGCGCTTGGAATTCATTTATTTAATGGGTGAACATACTTGCATCGGCTTCCACTAGCAGGATTAGCTTCTGAAACCCACCTCCTATTTCTAGCTATCTGTAAATGAAAATAAGGGGCAGTATTTTTGCTATGAGCTTCAGTTAAAATTCAGTTAAAATGTTGCAATGCATAATTGGATTGACTGTGTGTCATCTACTGCAACGTTATAATAGAAGTGAATTTTGCAGTGCCTGGGTGGCTCAGTCGGTTAAGCATCTGCCTTCAACTCAGGTCATGATCCATCCTGGGGTCCTGGGATTGAGCCCTCCATCAGGCTCCCCGCCAAGCAGGGAGCCTGCTTCTCCCTCTGCCTGCCACTCCCCCTGTTTGTGCACTCGCTCTCTCTCTCGCTCTCTCTGACAAAGACATCTTAAAAAAAAAAAAGTGAATTTCAGGCATTCCCACTTAGAACTTTCCTTATTATTTCATCTTGAGGGATTTCCAAGGAGGCAGCTTCCAAAAGCCACCCTGCTTGCCTGGTTCAGAAACTTCGAAGCTGTGATTGTGAGTCTGAGTTTATTTTATTTAAAAATAAAAGCCCCCAGAGCTTTGCTCATGCCGAGTACCATGGCAGACAAAAAGGTAAATCAAAACACTCTTGAGCAAGGTAACGGATGACTAGTTTCAAATCAAAATCCAAACCTTGTAAGGAGTACATATTGCGTTTGGTTCCCTGGGAAGCCTCTCCATGTGAGTCAGCTCATGCTAACTCCCTGCTCTAGTCTTCCCTTGAGAACTAACTGCAGGAACCACCGAGAGTCGTGGTCTTGCAGGTCCTATTGCTTCAGGGATTATAAAATCTGGAAGAAAGATCTACAGTCTCCAGATCAGTCTTCCCATTACTTTGCTAGGGAAAATACACATGAGATGAAATTGTATGGATGTTCTATTTCAATCTCCTTGTTCCATTCCAAAGAAGGATGATGGCAAGTTTCCAAAAGGGAATCTGGTTATTTCCAAAGTCTTTTTATAATGCATAGCCACGCTGGTTTTAGTATGATGAATTTCCACCCAAGTAGAACCGTTCTCATTCAGAAGAGTGAAATGATTTAAAATAATACATATCAGATTTATTTCCTGGCCTTACAAAAAAAAAATCCTGAACTCAAATTTCTGGGATAGCTTTTTGAAAACTATCCCCCAAAATAGGCTCTTTGAAGTCTCCTCAGTGGCAGCAAATTGACATCCTTTGAAGGGAATCTGTTTTCAGAGAGCAGATATTGGGCAGAGCCAAGTCTCATGGATAAGAGAAGTGATCAATTGGGCTAGATAACAAACAAGCTCGTTCTGTCAGTGTTTATTAAGCCTTGCTTATGTGCAGGACACTACTCTGTGCCGGAAATACGCTGATAGGGGGCCTTCTAAGGTGGTTTGAAGATAATTCTTACAGGAAAACTCAGTGTCTTCAATAATGGTAACAACATGTAAAGCCCACAGCCCATCAGAATGACTGCTTTTGACAGATAACACTTATTTGAATAAGTTCTTTGGTGTTCATTAAAAAAACTCATTACATAATATTTTATAAATCTAATTATATGAAATTGTCATGTGTCGACAGTGCTTTGTTTTATAATTGGTGGGTTTCTGGAAAGTTCTGGGGAAATATTTTCAAGTCAAATGCACAAAGGAAACTTTTTTTTTTTTCAAAGCCTGTTGTGGGGCTTGAACTCACAAGCGTGAGATTGAGACCTGAGCTGACATCAAGAGCCGGATGTTTAACCAACAGAGCCAGCCACCCAGATGCCCCAAAGGAAACTATTTTAAGAGGGAGAAAGTGTATTCCACTGATTTCCAAGCACCATTTGCTGTGGGTGTCAGAGTGCCCCCAGGAACTGTGCTCTGCTCTCGCAGAGACACCCCAAATCTTCAAAAACCTGTGAACCTGCACATGGCCTCCCCCGTAGGAACAAAGGGGTTTGTCAGAGGCCGGTGACAGGCAGATCCTCCGACTGGGAGTCTTCTTGATCAATGCTGTGGTTCGTAGTTATTGCTCTGGACATATTTACAAATTATAGACAAGGCTTACATTAGCCTGTTTGTGATCTCCTAGACCCAGTCTTACATTTTAGGACACGGTGGAAGCTGTAAGGCTCTATAAGCAGCTCTTCTGGGAATCTGGAGTAATTCTATTATGCAAAAAGTCTGTTTAGGTTGAATCATGAAATTGCTGGTTTGGGAGCTCAAAATGGCTATCTCATATGGTTGAACCTAGTATGTTGAGAGGAAGAGTACGTTATGGTTTAGAAAGCCAGCCTCCAGCGTGGACCTTTTCTCCTTTTCCCCCCCTCCAAATGACACGATCAAGTGCCTTTCTCTCCAGTAACTCCATGTAAATCTTAAGGAACGTGGAGAAATGTCGGCAATTCCCGGGCCCTAGTCCTCCCATAGGGAGGACCATGGAAGACCTTTAAAACTGTATGTAATTCATAAATCCCTGTCTAGTTGCCCAGCGCCACAGGGCAGAAGCTTCTGTCCCCGGAGGAGGGTCTCGGGGACGGGACTGTCCCCCTCAGCATACCAAGCTGTGGAAATTAAGGCACAGGATCATCGTGGAGACGTACTGTGATGGAGATCCAGTCAAATTCAGAACTAGTCTCTCAATTCTCTCCACAGGAACTCCCATTTTAACAGCATGGAGAAAAAAGCCCTGAGGAGTATTTCATTAGCCAAGTGAGTGTTTAGAGAGAGAAACAAAAATAACATCTATTGGACCGGGTCTAAATTCTTTCTCTCCATCTCGTGTGGGTGTCATGGTATAGAATCAAGGACCGTACAAACCATTTTTGAACGGATTCTGCGGTGTTCTTAGACTTGGTGCTTTAAAGACATTCCTACTACACTTCGAGCCTCTGTCACATGGGACCTCCAAAGCGCACTAAAATGTGAGCTGTTGTTGAATCGCCTCCCACATTCAGCACACTCGTAGGGTTTCTCTCCGGTGTGGATTCTCCAGTGGATGATGAGACTGGAGCTCTGACTGAAGCTTTTCCCACACTCCCTGCATTCATAGGGTCTGTCTCCAGTGTGAATTCACTGGTGGGTAATGAGGTTTGAGCGGTCACTGAAACTCTTCCCACACTCGAGACATGCATAGGGTTTCTCTCCTGTGTGGATCCTCCGATGGCTGGTGAGCGTGGAACTCTTGCTGAACCTTTTCCCGCACTCGGGGCACTGGTAGGGTTTTTTGCCCGCGTGTTTGCCGGTGCGCACTGAAGTGCAAGCTATTGGTGAACCTTTTCCCACACTCCCTGCACTTATGGGGTTTCTCCCCTGTGTGGACTCTCTGGTGCATAGTAAGGCTGGAGCTCTGGCTGAAGCTTTTCCAGCACTCCCCACATTTATAGGGCTTCTGTCCAGTGTGGACTCTCTGATGTGCTGTGAGGTTAGAAGGATCACTGAAGCCCTTCCCATATTCAGGGCATTTGTAGGGCCTTTCCCTGGTGGGGATTCTCTGGTGGCAAACCAGATGTGAGCTTCGGCCAAAGCTTCTCCCACAACGGCCACACTTAGAAGGTGTCTTTTCCCCAGTGTGGGCTAATCTGTGCACAGCAAAGCGTGAGCCCTGGCTGCCATGTTGTTTTCCACATGCACAGCAGAGATGGGACTTTCCTCCTATGTAGGTTCCCTGAGGGCCTATCAATTTACCTACGTCTCCTTCTGGAGGGGAGCGTGCTTCTTGTCCATCTTCTAAGGGTACTTCCCACCGCCTCTCCGCCCCATGTTTGCCTTCCCAGTCTGTCCTCCAATCAAGAGCCGGGGAAGCAGCCGCTTTGGGTCTCTCTAATAGCGCCCCCCAGAGCTCTGCTTCCTCTGACATGTCCTGGCTTGAATTCTCCTTGTCCTGTGTCTTTGTTTCAAGATCTGAAAGAATGAGATGAAACTGCAAATGTGACCTGCTTTCTGAGCTCAGAAGAACGCAAACAACGTGAAAGAGTCCCCTCCTGGACGCTGAGAAACAATTTCTTGATGACGACAGATAGAACACAGTCAGCTTTCCATTAACCAGGAACCAAGCATTGGACTATGGCTGAACCCTGGTTAAGACAGCAGACTTGCAGATCTCCCTCCCTCCCCCAGCTTCTAAACAAGAAGGTCGTGTGGAAGAAGACTGAAGAAAGGGAAGGTCCAGTGGGCAAGGTCCAGACCCATTTCTTCCTCTCCCCACTCCTCAGAGGCTCTGCCCCCGAGCTTGGCTCCTCTCCTCCCACCCACCTGTGGGCTGGCAATCAGTACTAAAAAGCCACCTTTTTCTTCTTGATACTGCCTTCCAGGTAGAGGGACAAGCCTGAGAACACTTCTGGCCTCTCTCCATCCCCTCGCTCCTCAAGCAGGAGGGAGGACTTCTTTGACTAACAAGGAGCTGGGCACACGTGGCTCAGAAGACCAGCAGTGACAGTTCTGTGCCGGCAGGGCAAGGCTGTGGTCGTCTGGGGCTGCCCTGCGCCTCAGTGTGGGGTTCAGCGTGAGGAAGCCCACTGTGGCTACACATCAAGCCACATTGTCCAATGGCTCTCGCAGTTAGAAAGCTGCCATTTTGATCTCAATGTCTTACTCTTATGGTTCTTGGTTGGTCTAGAATCTGGGGGAAGAACAGTACTGTTTATTGGATCCCCTAAAATTCCAGCAGAATGACCGAGCCCCACCAAGGAGGGAAGCTCATCTTAACCATGAGAAATTCACCCCTCCAATAATCTAAGGTTGAGTATTGTTTAATTTGGAGTTGCCAAGGCTCACTTTTTCTATTAACCTACTTAAGCGACAGTTAATTATAGTTAAAAGTCAGATAGAAATTTAAGTGGGAGGGGCACCAGGCTGGCTCGGTCAGTAGAGTGTGTAACTCTTGATCTTAGTCATGAGTTCGAGCCGCACACTGCAGGTAGAGTATACTAGAAAAAATAAATAAAGGGGGCATTTTTTAAAAAGAAATTTAAGAGGGACATCATAAACACTAATAATCTGTTTACATCTATGAGCCAAGGTAACGAAGGGGAGCAGGCTTTCCTGGTGCCACCTCCTTTACTGTTCTTCTCCCACCGCCTGTGGTTTCAGCACCTCAGAGTAATAAGCCGGGAAGGCCCAGGGAGTGGGTGCTCTCCCAGCCTGGTGCTGCCTTGTCCGCGTTCAGAATTCTGGGTCTGACTTCTCGGTTGGCGCCATACTAGCTTTCACTCATTTCCCACCTGAACAGGAAGTTTCCCAAAAGTCCCAGAGATCGTCATTCCAAAGCTCTTCACTTCTCTCCAACCTCGAGACCCCATCTGGCTGGGGAACCGGAAGTCCTGCTCAAGGAAAAGCAAGAAGGGACATGGAGTTCCTACATAGTCTGCTTTCTGTTCTCCTATCGGGAAGTGGTAGCTGAGATGAGCACAGAAGCACCTCCCAGAAAGTCTAGTTTTCAGAAGAAAACGTGTAGTTAATGACTCAGGAAATATGCCCCCTTAAGTGAAGAGTGCAGGGCAAGGTTTTCCTCTATGTTAACAATAATTACAATGCTCACGATAATGAAAACAAGCATTTCCTGAGTGCTAGCCACGGGCCAGGATCCCCGAAACCGCCCAGTGAGGCAAATACTGTCATTATGTCCATCTTACAGATGAGAAGGCGGAGGCTTAGGGTGTGTAACCAGTTTGCGCAAGAACAGACAAGTCTTAAGTTGGCAGGCTGCTGTCTATAATCTGCGCAGAGTTCACACGGATGGGGTACTTTAGCTGGAAATGAACAAGTGGAACTGGAAGTCACTCCAACCTCTCTTTCCTCCTACAACTGCCACTAAATATTGTTTCTATAATGCCATTACTAAGAGCAGACAGGGAGAGCCCTTTGCTGTAGAGCAGGGCAAGACCCTCCCAGGAGTCTTTGTGAGTGAGCCCGTGGGACGGCTTCAGCGGAGGGCTGATTCTAGTGGTATCTGTGTTCCGTAAAGGACTCAACAATTTTCCTCCAGACGAGGCCACACCAGAGGGCCAGACAATAAGCGTCTCTCCTGCTTCACAGTCCCTAATGCTTTCCTGCGAGACTTGCCCTCTCCCACTGCTCTGGGGGGCACTGGGGGTGGGGCGCTTACCACCAGAACTCCCCCTGAAAGCCGGGGGGCCGAGGCTCCCGGGCTCCTCTTGGGGCTCAGCCACCAGTTCGCTACCATCTCCTGTCACAGCTGCCAGCACAGCCTCTGGTTCTCTTTGGGGTCCCCTCTGTCCCGCAGAAGGCCTCCTGCCACCTCTAAGGCATCAAAGGTGCCGGCAAGGGTCCAGGGGCCCATCAGGGCGTCCATCTCCTGGTAGAAGGGGCAGGTGCCCGGCGCCCGGCTGCTCCTGGCTTTGCGGTAGTGGGTCTGGAGGTTTCTGAAGCAGTCGCGACACTGTTCCAGGGTCCGCGGGAAGCTGCTCTCGCGCAGCCGATCAGCCACCAGCCGGTACACCTGGCGGCTCGGTGGCAGGTGCGCAATTTCTCACGGGTCCAGAACTCACTGAGAATTCCCCCCAAAATCTTAAGTTTCCTCAAAGCCCTAGTGCGCCGCTGCCACCTTCTCATCCTCCAGGCCCTGCCACTCCAGCTCCTCCCAGGTCTTGGCTTTTCTTGGGACGGGCAAGTGGCCAGGCTGGACTCTTCCCCCACCTGCTGCGGAGTCCCTGGCGCTCTCCTCCTCTCTGGGGCGCTGAAGATCTGGGCTCTGTGGGGTTTTCTCCTGCTCCCTGCAGGAGCTGGCACTGGGTCGGTGGCTGGGCAAGTCGATTTGCAGGGAGACAAAGAGAAGACACAATGGTTTGCTACATCTAATCCCAACCACTTTATACGCCAGGGAGGGGAGATACAATTAATTTTTTTTTTAAAGTCTAAGGGGATTCTTGGGAAGCCTCAGTGAAAGTAATATTAAGGACTGTGAGGGAAAAAGTCCAGGCCCAAATCTAGAACTATCTGTACATGTTCATCTGTCCTGTAACAAATAAAATTCAGGTTCCCACCAGAGGCTTTACTGACCGTCTTCCTAAGACAAGCTTTAATAGAGTATCCTCTCTGGGCTCTAGAAACTCGTCCTTGATAGCACTGACTTTGGTATTAGATTTACTGGTCTGTGTTCAAGCAGGATTGAGGGACTTTAAAAAAATTTGACCCAAAAAGATCTGGAGGAGTGACTACTCTGGAAACTCCACAGCCAACTTCTACTGGACGGGAAAACGGCAGTCTTACCCATCGAGGCCCCACTTGCAGATTTCTCCCAACTTCTTTCCACGTGTTTCCTCCCCCCAGGTTCTGGCTGCCTCCGTGCCTCCTGGGAGACATACATAGCCACATCACTGAATGTCATCAACTCCTGAGGAAACATAACACCCTATTCAAAATATGCTGCCTTCATCAGAGTCCAGGTGACAAAAAAGACTCAGAAGAAACTGAAACGTGAGATTCCTTTGACTTTTAAATGCAGTGTGGGCCAGGATGCCTGGGTGGCTCAGTCAGTTAAGCATCCCACTCTAGATTTCGGCTCAGGTCATGACCTCGGGGGCGTGAGATTGAGCCCCACTCAGGCTCTGGGCTCAGCAGGGAGTCTGCTTGGGATTCTCTCTCTCCTTCTCCCTCTGCTCCTCTCCCCACTTGCTCACGCTCTCTCTCAAAATAAATCAATCTTCAAAAAATGCAGTAGGGGGCAGGGGAAGGGAAGAGAGGGAGAGGAAGCAAGGCAAGAAAGAAGCTAACATTTACTGAACACCTATGCACTGTGCTGGGAACTTTTCACACTTGCTCAAAGTTCTACAGTCAGTATGTGGCAGAGCTGGGATTTGAACTCAGGGCTGTCTGACTCTGAAGCTGTTGTGCCCCGCTACCCCGCACCCACACCCACACCCACACACGCAGTCCCGCACTGTTCTACAGGGGCAAGATTCAGATACAGAAAGAAGGAAATAATCATTCCTTTTAAGACAAACAAGAAAATCAACATAATCTTACGATCTCAGGGTCAAGGAAAAGAATGACTTTAGTGCAATTCCTCCCTACCAGCTGTGGTGCCGCCTTACAGCAAGAGGGAGGTTTGGGCAACATTTTTCTGGTGGATGAAATTGTGAAGCCTAATCTGTAAAGTTACTGGGCCTCCCTGCTGGCTAAAATTGCCTTGGCATTTCTGATAAGAGAGTTGGATGCAAAAGGCCCCCACTCGAGTAGTAAAAGGTGTCCTGAGTAAGAAAAATCTGGCTCACCTGGGAGGGGCTCATCATCCCCTGGTCACCACCGCTTTCCTCCACGGAAAGACCCAGAGCCGGAGGATCAGGCAGGGCTGTGGGAAGGGAAAGGAGCTGTTAGAAGACAATGTTTCTTGACTCCTCTTGAGGACTAGCCCAACTTAGTTCTGAAACAGAAGAGTCTTCCCCCTTCTCTTTGCGTCCGCTTTGGCCCTCCAAAGACGGTTGGCGAAAAACCAAAATGACACATTTCTAAGAGGAGAGTTCCAGATTTTCCCCTTCCGTATCCATCCAGGTTACTGACTGTCCCAGTTTTATGATTTTCTTCTTCAGTTTTGATAACACATTTGCATCATCTGAATTAGTCTGGGGACACTTGTCCCTGTTCTGAGAATTACTGCACTTTGGTTTAACCCTACCTTATGCTTTTCCCACCAATCAGGCCTAAAATCTGTGCCCACCCCTAACCTACTGGGACCAGTAACCTCTCACTCATAAAGAAAGGTGCCCCAGGCTCCCCGATGTAATTTTACAAAACACGCCAACCAAGGCCTTTCTTCCCTTTGGAGGTGCTACTGAGGATCCCTCAGGTTCATGTGGTCAGCCACATTTCACATGCCCCATCCTCCAAGTGGAAAGAAATCCCACTTTCTGCACTCAGAGGGGACTTTCACACCCTCTCCACAGAAGGGTCCCTCCTTCCTCCCCAAACTGCGGCTGCTTACCGCTCTTGTGGAAGGATCAGAGTTCTACCATGGGGCTGTGAGTCAACGGCTCTGGTTCTGGCTGTGAGTTCTTCACCATCGCCGGTAACAGACACGTGGGTCCTGTCCGTGCTTGCTTCAGACGGCTCCTCAGGGAACCCAGTGCTGATCCTGGAGCTTCCTTCTCCTCTGAGTATACCTCCTGCCCCCGTTCAAGGACTAGAAGTTGTCAAAATCCGGTAGGTAATAAAACTTAACCATCCCAAGATGCAAAGAAGCAAAGGAGGAAATCAGCCTCATGCAAGTCACTGCAGGGCAGTTAGGAGCGTGGGTGTGTGGAAGACTAACAGGTAAGGTCTAGAACCCAGGCTCACTGCAATCTGCCCACCAGCTCTCCTGGGGCTGTTCCTGTCAATCCCTAGGCAAAACTCAGCCAACCAAAAACACAGCTATTTTTCAGTAGGATGCAAAGGTTCAAGATTGTCAGTAAAGACCAATGAAGCCCCTTGCTTCAAGCTGACTAATGAATGAGAGCTATTCTCCAAAACAACAACAACAACACAAAGAGCTTTTATGTTCTTCTGGGTGCTCCTCCTCAACCAGAGTGGTGGTCAAGCCATTTTAAGCAATTCTCTTACTTAATGGCAGGGACCAACCTTCAGAACAACCAATGCTATGCATTCCCTGAAGTGTCAGTCTGAGCTTGGAAAGGAAGTTGTGGCTACCAGGCCCAGGGAATAAGCAAATGCCACAGGACACAAAGAGCGAAGTACTACACATCACCCATCTGGCTGGCAAACCAAGGGGGCTCTGTCTCTCCCACTCCCCTCTTTTAACTACTCAGAACAAGGTGCCCGGTTCTCACCTGGAGCCCCCATCTTCCAGGTTCTTTCTGCAAGTCTTCCACCAGAGCCACGGCCTCCTTCCCACTCTCTGGATGCTTCTATCTAACCCAGATCTGGATCTCCTGAGGAAGGACAGTCAGGAACTGTTCCAGCACGAGCAACTCCAGGATCTGCTCTTTTGTACACTTCTCTGGTCTCAGCCACTGATGACAGAGCTTCCGGAGTTGGATGAGGGCCTCCTGGGGTCTGGATGTTTCTTGATAGCAGAAATGCCAAAAACGCTGGCAGGAGGTGTCTGGTCCAGGGTCACTCCCTTGAAGGGAAATTTCCTGCTCCCAGTGGGAATTCTCTTCCAGCTTCACGAGTCAAAGTTCTTCTTGCACTTGAGGAGTCTGAATTTGTTGGTCTACAGCTACAGCCATTGTTCAGCTCAGAGAAGAACCTTGCAACTGGGCTCTGAAGCTCAAACCTCTTCCTTGACCACACTGGGAAGCTACCTTGAGATAGGAGTCACTAAGTAGAACTTGAAATTCTAGAGCCAGAGATACATTAGAGTGAACGCTAGTGACAATCACAAATGTTAGCCCAGCAGGACTGAGGTGAAGAAAAGAACTCTCCTGTTCTCCCCTTCCCAAGTCCTGGTGCCCATGGAGTCTGGCCCTCTATCACTGGGGAGGCAGCTCCAGAAGTTTGAGAGGAGGGTCAAGGGCTGGTGATCTGGTTGGAAAGTAGGGGAGCTTGAAGCTCTGTTTGCATAGCGATTTACTTGAGGCTGAGAAAAATGTCAATTATCCATACTGACCAATGAGGATGGGCTGGAGGAGATAATGGGGACAATAAACCGCCCACCTTCCCAAGCCACTGGTCTTCGGGAGTGAATGTGCAGGACAAGTACGAGACGGCGCGTAAGGTAGCAGCACCTTGGAGAGCAGCACCCGGCTGGAGCGGGCTCTAAGCTTCAGCGATTCACAGGGTCTCCACGGCCCACATCTCTAGCTGGGCTCTCGGCACTGGGCACCCCAAGTCTCAGTCCTGGAATAACTCTCTCCCAAACAGGGAGATTTAGCCTGGCTAAGGTTACAGGCTTTAAGAGCAGGGATAATAAACACAGACTCATAGGATGTTAGAGCTGGCAGGAAAGTTAGAGATACTTCGGCTGGGCAATCATGGCTCAGAGACCCCCCCCCCGCCCAGGGTCTTGCCCAAGGTCGCATAGCTGGTGCAGGGCGGAAAATAAGCAGCGGCTCCGCCCCTTGACCATGGACTTGAGGCACTGGCCCGCAGAGCGTGACTTACCCTGGAAGACTACTCTGCTCCGCGGGAGACCTTCTCTGGAACCTCATTGGGTAAATGCGGGCCCTGGGGACGGGGTCGCCTCGGCGCCCACTGGGCCAGGGTCGTCTCCGCCGGGTCCGGTGGGCGGCACGAAGGAGGGCGGTGCCAGCGCGAGGGGCGCATCCTGCCCGGGGGCCGCTGGGCCCGAAGCGGCGAGACCGAGGGTTTCCGTCGGGCCACGCCCCCCGACCCTTCGACGAGGGCGGCCAGTACCCTGGCTGAGAGTTGCGTGGGCCCGCCGAGGCCCTGCGCGTACGGGTACCCGGGGCCCCCGGCACCTTCTCCGCGGCCACGTCACGTGCCCACACGACCCCCGAACCCCGAGCCCAGACCCGTGGTCCGGGCATTCGGACAGCCACTAAACACCGGAAGCGGAAACGCGAGCCCCAGAAGGACTCGGTTTTGCCGGACTCCATTTCCCATAGGCCTCCGCCTGTGCCCGCAGATTGACAGCAGCGTTAGCCAATAAACTGTGGGGACGGCCTAGGCGGCTATGTGTCTCCGACGAATCATTAATGACGGGTAGGACCTCACTGCACGCTGGATTTGGGGGTTCAGAGCCACAACTAGAACGGACCCAGCCGGGGGTCGTGTGTTTGCACTCCTTTCCCTCACTCCCGGGGGCACTGAGGGGGAGGAGGGCCCTTGCGGGCAGGAGGTCTGCGAGCATGAAGCTGAGACTCCAATTCAATTTTTTGCCACTTAAGAAAGTACTTTTCCGGCATGGTTGTCCACTGTGGTAATGCTTTACACACACACACACACAACACACACACACACATTGTTGTCCACTGTGGTAATGCTTTACACACACACACACACCACACACACACATGGTTGTCCACTGTGGTAATGCTTTACACACACACACCACACACATGGTTGTCTACTGTGGTAATGCTTTACACATACATACACACGGTTGTCCACTGTGGTAATGCTTTACACACACACACACACACACACACCACATAGTTGTCCACTGTGCTAATGCTTTACACACACACACACACACACACACACACAC